ACAGGGTACGTGTCATTCATACAGCACATAAGTCATCCAACCAAGTTCGTGGGCATCCAATAGTAAAGGTACTTACTTGGCTGGCCTAAGTCGGAGTCACTAATTAATCCTTGTTGCTAGTTTTAATCTACCCCTCAAAGTAAACTTATATGGACTCATGACGAACTCAGCTATAAGACATTAATTAATAATCTATCTTATCTTAAATTAATTTAAATTAGACAAAGCCACACTACCCTCAAATACTCTCAATAACATAAAATTAAAAATAAAATAAAAAAAACAAAAAAACACTGAGGTTAAAAAAAATGGTAGAAAAGCCATTTACATTTATTTTATATGACATTTGTTGTTTCTGTTTAATTTTATAGGGACTGTGATATATTATCTACCTAAGAGATTACTTAAGGTGAGATAATTGGGGAATGGATCAGAAGTTTGGGGAAGGGTCGTAAAAACAACCCTTAATCTTTTTTTAATTTTATTTATTTATTATTTTACTTAGGCTATTACATCAATAGAACCATCTTCCATTACTCATTCGACCGTGCAACTTTTTACTATCTTAGGTAAACCTATGAGAAATTTCCCGATGCAATTTCTCCAAAAAACTGTTAAACCTCGTGGTACCTCAGATTCACTAACAGTAGTTTGAACATGTTCTTTAACAACTCTCCATTTGACCTACTATTCTGAAAGACTTAGACTATCTAAGATTCAATCACTATGTTAATTAAATCTTAGAATGAGACAAACAATCTCATATTCTTTGAAAGTGGGGTGCTAAACTTTGCATGTTATTTTAGTATTCTTGTACCACCCAAAAAGGAAGGGAATTAGCTCCAATGAGAACAAGTCGTCCATGTAAGACTCAAAGGATCAAAGGAAACAAATTAAGAGGATTAAGCAAGGACAAAGGTTTTAAGCAAGTCATTTCTATACTATAAGAAGTATTTTAAGGATATGAGGCCATTGGAAAAAGATTGAAATAGAAAAAGTGAGTGAGAATAACAAAAAGGTCATTTTTCCAATTATCAAAGATCTATTTAGATTTTAAATTCTTTATCTAGAAGGAATTTAAAGATGCTAAAGAAGGAAAAAAAATAATAAAATATTTCGAAGGTGGCAAATCACCAAAATACTCTTGAAGTTCCACTTAATTACAAAACTAACATTAAAGAAAATCTGCCTCGAGATTTGTTTCCAAAACCGACCCCGTAAGGAAATTAATGGTACCTTCACATCCAACGGTTCTAGAACAATAAAAAACCGTGATTAGTTTGATCTATAAATAGAAAGTTCTGGATAATGTTGTAATGCATAAATCTAGTGACGAAGCTTTTAGATTATCGGTTTATCTTCCTCAAATTTAGAAATCCGAGAGATATGGTTAATCATTCTCCCCTGTACCAACTCCCATCCATTTTATATGAGATTTCCAACAAGTTTCGTGAATGAATCAGGTCCTAAAAAGCTTTAGAATCGGCTGCCCAACAAAAGATTTCTAGATTTACTCCGACAAAAAACATGTTTTCCGGCGAACTTGGGAAGATTATAACTTGAGCTACAGACCACGAAAATGTATGAACTTGCTCTCTACTTTTTCCTTGAAACTTTATCGGAAGGTTTCGTGAAGAAAGCGAGTCCATTAGAGGTCTATATAGAGATTTACAAAGGCAAAATCAGAGGGGTATGATAAGAAAAAATAGGGATTTTTCCAACTACCAAGGAAGAAGATGAAATCCAAAGTCAAAGGTCAAACTTTGACCAATAAAAGTTAAAGATAGCCATATGTTGACCTTCTCCAATTTTTCTCAATTTTAACCCTCTTCCACACAGGTTCTCATGAAAAACTTTATGGTTCTAGAAACAAGATACAATAAGAAATGTGTGGAAGAAAATTGGAAGTAATTCGGGTATCGAAAGCTCAAGAACGGAAGTCTCGAACATCGACAACAAGATAAGTAGCCACCTTGGACTTTTCTTAAGAAATACTTGTATTAATCGCTTGGATTTTCATATGAACCTTAAACCAAGTATTCATTAAGGATATATGAAAGAAAAACCAAAAGAACCGTGAGCTAAGGCCCTGAACCGATCAAATTACTCGAGATTTAAGTAACGTTAACCCACTAGATGAACTTTTTGCCTATGAAATTTTAATGCTGATCATATTATAGCATCTTGAGGTTATATACAAAATTTGGTGGTCATTGGATAAGGATAACTAGGTAAACCAAGAAACGGTGCACAATAACCATAATGCCCATAAGAATATCTACCTACGGTTCATGACCTAGATCACCTCCAAATACTATGAAACTCTGAAGTTGACCTTAGTTTATGATGTCTGATGATGTGGTGAAGTTTGAAAGCCATTGGAACATGTTAACTAGCAAAACCAAGAATTAAGGGTAAAATGACCAAAATGCCCCTAGAACTACTCATGATAATTCAAGGTCTATACGTGCTCCAACTGATTTGCTACTTCTTATAAGGTCTATTCTGAAGGACATAAAGATATTCTTGAGGTTTCAAGTTTATTGGAGCAAGTTTGTAACCTAAACCAAGTTAGGATCCAAGAGACACCTAAGGGAAACACCTCAAGAATCAAGACTATTCTAGAACCCTCTAAAGAATTCACTAGGAATCTATGACCTTCTAGAATAACTCATGCTAAGATGGGTTTGTATGCTCATGAATGTATGTTACAACTTATGCATCAAGGAATTACGAACCTTAGAAACTTACAAGATTGACAACCAAGAACAATACCACACAAGCTCTACAACTACCAAACTAAGAAGAATGCTAAGTACCACTTAAGAACTAGGGACCAAGGTCCTTAACTCAGAAATTCAAGAATACTAGGTAATACTCTAATCGCATCCAAAGTGACCCATGACCTCCCACCAAGCGGTGCTTTATGAGGCCTAGGTTTTCCTCTTTTAGGTGGGATGCCCTGCACCATGTTTCCTTTGGAGGATATCATGTTTGACCTCATTTCCCTTACCTAAATGAGATGCCCTGCATCATATTATGGGTACCCAGCAGGGCATCATGGTCATGTATGCATCGACCATGTGACCTATATGGTCTATAATGGGGAGTAGTCTAGGGCTATGATGGAACAAGAAGAGAGTAAGTTACCTTAGCTAAGAATCAAGAACCTCCTAAGACCTTCCATGGTACAACATGCTCATGACTTAGATTACGCTGCTTGGAACGCATGAGCCTTAAGCGTAGGTATTCAGATTGTATCACAAGACAAGTCCTAAGATGTAGAATTATATTAAATCTCTTGGAACATAAGAAGCCTTAGACGTAGGTTTTTCACACTATGCCACTTGAAACGCATGAAGCCTTGGGCATAGGTTTTCATACCATATCGAAGGGCAAGCCCTAAGATGCTGATTAAACTACGTCGCTTGGAACGCATGAAGCTTTGGGTATAGGTTTTCAAGTGTATGTCTAGTACCATAAATCCTAGGGGGAGTGTCTGGGAGAACGAAACAAGATTAGAACAAGAACCTAGAAAGTACCAAGAACAAGAGAAATATCAAGAACAAGAACATGGATCAAGATCCAAGCTCTAAGGACAATAACAAAGAACCAAGAACCATAGTACCAAGGCCCTCCGGATAGATCACAATAAGAACCCCCAGTCAAAAACAAGAACTAGAGGGCCTAAATACTTACAACAAGATCAAGAACAAGAACAAGACAAGAAAGAGTGTGGTACCTTAGTATATCAAGGACACGACTAAGAGTCTACAAGTAGGCTACTTATTGAATCTTTTTACTCATTCCTTATTCTCCATATTTTCAGGTAATAAGGAGCTGGTCAAGGTTGGGAGCGGACTCTGGAGCAGGTGTCATAGACAACCTTCACTTGTCGTCTCAACCCTTTTGTTTTAAAATGTTGTGTCCATTTCTTATTTTTTATATCAATATTATCGTGCTTTAAATTACTAATGTGCTTAGACTATTTGGTTATAATATAAATTATGTTTTAAATTTTAATTGTTTTATTTCGTGAAAAATTTACCCGTCATTTTAGAATCATCGAGTCAGCTCGATCCTTGCAATTTTAGTTAGTAATTTTTTCATAACAACAATGTTATTAACCTTAATACATCATCTAGCACATCTTCATACTAGGGCTTTGACTTGCGAATTGTTTTAACTTTTGAAAACTCTTATCGCAACACTATAAGCAAAAGTTATATTTGTGTGAGTCGGAATAGGTCAAACTAGAAATATTCAAACAACCCTTTTATATCCTCTTAAGGTAAATTACAACTTTATGCCTCCATAAAAGACTAGACTAGATGCAGACTCTTCCTCCCTCAAGATGGTCCATTGTGCCATCTTCCTTAATATTCATTGCTTGAGGGAAGTTACTTTGTCTAACCAAAACTCATACTTAAAGTGTTCGATACAAAGCATATTATATAGTACTAATAATGTTTAAGGGCTGGCCATGTTGCCTTTTTTTTTTTTTTTTTTTG